ACATTTATTTGAAGGTTTCAGTTTACGTTAAAGATGCATCATTATTTTTAATTTTTTTATAGATTGTATTTGTTATTGATAGACAAATTATGGCTTATATAATTAATTATCAATGTATATCTGACAAATTGTTAGCAATCTAATTTAAACAATGAATTTTCGTTGTGATTTTAATCATAGAGCTTATCATTAAACCTTCTAGCTATAACATCAAATTTATCGACACATATATCTTTTTGAAACATTATATATATTATGCAAAAAAGAAAAAAAGAAATTGACTGTAATATATTTTGATACATGTTTGTGTAACGTAATTGTAAGGCCATGCACAAGATGGTGACATGACATGGAGCAAAACTTGTCATACATTTTGCATTATTTGAAAGTGCCATTTCGGGACGGTGAGCTCATCTTGTGTGGGTTCCATTAAAAATAAAGAACACATTATTTTTTAATATTATTAGCTAATTTATTGTAGTAAAATAATTGCACTATTACACGAAAAAAAAACAATAAAAGTAGAAAATTGATAGTGTTCACTGATGCATATATAGCAACATCATAAGTGTTAACAAATTGCCATTCAGCTAGAGTAAATTTATTTGTCAATGATTTTCCTTTTTGATTTTGAGATAAACAAAAAGAAAAAAATAAAATTAATAAAATAATAAAAATATATTGGTTTATTGCATCGTACGAAAGGAAGAATGTAGGCATTAATATTATTGATATTTTAGGATTTGTATGGGATTTTTAGAAGGCCAAAAATAGTGTTTGGATGGGTTGGTACGTCGCTGGCAGTGGAATTTTAAGAAACAGTACACGAGTGGGTGGGGTTTTGTTTTGTAGGGATTCCATCAACTTTACGCAAACGTATGTGAATGGGTCAAATTCCAGGACAAGGGATTTGGTTTCGTGAGTGACAGCTTGCATGTGCACGTGCAACAATATACAAATCGTATTCACGTCAATCTCAATCCATTCCGATTCAAACAACTTTCTTTTATATTAAGATCTCAATTTTTAAACTAAATTATAAACTCTAGCTTCAGCCTGTTTGTTGATCAGATCTATATTGGAATATGATTACCTTTTGATTCATTTTATGATACCATTTTGTTCATTTTGGTCCTTAATTAACTAACTATCATGTCATGTGTGCAGTACTCTCTCTCTCTCTCTCTCTCTCTCTCTCTCTCTCTCTCTCTCTCTCTCTCTCTCTCTCTCTCTCTCTCTCTCTCAAATAAGTTTTTTAGTCTGACACTCAAATTGATAAAAAAAATGAGTTCAAAAGTCAATTTGAATGTTCATTAGTTTCATCTCAGGTACATCAATTAGTAGGTATGAGAGGATTAATGTCAGATCCTCAAGGGAAAATGATTGATTTACCCATTCAAAACAATTTACGCGAAGGAAACAGACTGCTCTCGCTCTCTCTCTCTCTCTCTCTCTCTCTCTCTCTCTCTCTCTCTCTCTCTCTCTCTCTCTCTCTCTCTCTCTCTCTCTCTCTCTCTCTCTCTCTCTCTCTCTCTCTCTCTCTCTCGATTCTATAGGATATTAAGGATATCCAACATTTTTATATTATTTATAAGAGAATAGTGGCCTTTGTGAGAAGCAGGGAGAGATATACCATTACCAAATGTGACATGATCCTTACCTTTGTATGTTTTGACATTGTCAAGATTGGAAGAGGAAGGTGTCATGTGAGTAGTTGCTCCAGAATCAACATACCAATCTGGAGAGTTGTCATGAACTTGGCATTGAGAGTGAAAAGTAGTGGAAAGGTTTGCATCGGCTTGGGGTGATCGAGTTGCAAATGAGTTGAGATCAGGACACTGAGTTGCATAATGACCTTCCTTACAACAAAGCTAACAATGAGGAGAACGACGACCACGATTTGAAGATTGGGAGCAAGTTTGAGTTGCAGTAAAAGCAACTTCTAGTGGAGTGGAGCCATGAATGGATTGCAGGAAAAGTTCATGACCTCAGCTTGAGAGAGTAGATCATGAAAGGAAGGCCAAGGTTTAACAGCACGGTGAGCAGTGGAAAACGTCTCAAAAGAAGACCCAAGACCACATAAGAACCAATGGGATTTGTCTATATCATCAACAGAGTGACGAATTACAGATAGTTGATCATAAATATTCTTGAATTTACGCATGTATTCAGCAACAGAGGAGTTACCTTTCTGCAAAGTTTGGAGAGAATCACGTAGAGTTTGCATGCGTTCCACAGAATCATGGTTGTAGGCTGCTTCAAGGGCACGCCAAACCGAACAGGAATCCTCAAGACCTAAGACTTGATACAAAGCTTCATCAGAAAGCGAAGACCGGATAATAATAAGGGCACGTTGATCCAAATGGAGCCAAGTATCATATGTTGGATTTGGGGCGGCATCATCATTAACGGTGATGGTGGGAGAAGGTTTGACAGTGGAACCATCAGTGTGACCAGAAAGCTTTTGATACGAGAGAAGAGGTAATATTTGTTTCTTCCAAAGAAGATAGTTGGTTGAAGAGAGCTTAATGGTAAGCATGTGCAGAAAGGTGGAGAGAGAAATGGAAGAATCGTCGCCAACGGCCATGAGGAAGAAGAACATAAACGCGACTAGAATGATCAAAGTTAGGCTAATACCATATAAGGTTTGATAAAATCACCACACGTTGTGGAGGATATTTCATTAACAATATATAATACACGAGATGTAGAAAATACAGGAAACAATAAATACAACAAAATACATTCCTAGTTTAAAGGGATTCTATAAGATATACTTAATATCCTTAATATCGTTAATAGATAGGTTAAGCTCTATTTAGTAATCGAGACAGGATGTGCAGGATGCACACTCAGAGTGATAAATGTGAACTCGAGAATATAAGAGTCTGGGGGCAGAGCCCCTGGGTGTAGGGTTCCAAGGGGTTGTGCCCCTAGAAAGGTCTAAGGGAACCGCCCCTTGCAGAGTCCAAGAGGCAGAGCCCTTGGCAGTGGTTCCGTTGATTGGTCAGTTGATGGATTCAAGGGGCAACGCCCTTGTGGGGCTCGAGGCAGCCCCTGTAACCTAATCAGATTACTATATCGGGAATGAGTCCATCCATGCAAATTCCATCCAAAACTAGTAGTGATATCATGATGATGTCATTAGTTGGTTATGTCATAATAACCAACACTTTTGGCGCCAAAAGCATGCAACTTCCGTCTAACCACCTTGTAACTAATTAACCACATTGGCCCCAAAAGCATGCAACTTCCATCTAACCACCTTGTAACCAACTTCCAACCGATTTCTTACATCTATATAAGAATGATGAATGTTCCAAAAAATGGGTTAGAACATATATATATATATATATATATATATATATATATATATATATATATATATATATATATACGAAAACCATACTTTTGATTTGATCTATCTCTCATGAACACAAAACAGCAAGGTATTTTCTGTGTTTTTGATTTAAAAGTGGTCTGACTTCTAAATTGTAATTCTTTGGATTATCCCAAATCTGATTCCGTGATACCCCAGGCTATATATAGTCAAAATCACATATTTTGGAAAGTGATTGCAATCACGATCCTAGAAATATCAAATTAAATTGATATTCTTAAGACCCCAAATTCTAATCTGTTATAGACATGACTTCCAAACTCGAGAAGTTGGATAAGTTTGAAGGCACTAATATTCTTCGTTGGCAAAAGAAGATGAATTTTCTTCTTACTACACTGAAAGGTGTTCACATTTTAAGCACTCATACACCAAAACCAATGGAGGATGAACCCCTTAAACATACCTGAAGAAGATATAGATGGTAAAATGGTGATTACATCTATCGTGGGCACATTCTGAATGGTATGTCTAACTCTCTCTTTGACATCTATCAAAATCATGAATCTACAAAAGATCTATGGGATGCCCTTGAATCCAAATACATGGCAGAGGAAGAAAGAAAGAAAGAATGAACAATTCAAAAACAAAAATACACAAATTAGGGGTACTTACCAAAATCGTGGATGAAAATGAAGCTCCAATTAGATTAGGGCTTTGTTTAACATAAAAAGCTAAAAGGATATTTGTTTTAGGGTAGGTGAGAAGAGGGGCTGCCAATAAGAATGCCCAAAAGGACGTGGGTATATCTAAGTCTGGGTTTAGCAACCAACACTTTAATTGTATTGTGTCCATTAAGTATGATGCTTCTCTTGTCACATGTTTTTATTCCTTGGTAATTATATCGTAAATAATTATGTATATGTTGATCCAAGTTGCTCACTAAGGTTTTGTAGTTTATCATTGTTATAATGAAATCATATGATAGGTACTAGTCCTAGAAGAATACTAAAGGAACTAGCTCAGTCAATAAAAGGCTTATGAAGACCTGAAAGACATTTTATTTTGTTGTTCCTATTATAGTGAGTCACGACACCCTGATTTTAGCGAAGTTACACATGTGGAAAAAGGGTTGGAATGAAGATTTATTAAATAAGAGGTAAAAATGAGAAAATTATTACATGGTTTTGAAAAATGATCAAGGCATTTAACGATGATCTTCAACAGTGAGTCAGTTACACATGTGACAACAGGTTTCAAGGATGATCGCAATCAGGGAAAAAAAAAATCAAAAAAAGGTCGAAATAAGTATCAAGATTTAGTGAGGGTTTGATTGGTGCCTCGATATTGATATGTGCAGTTAGGGTTTGCATATAGCATTATCTCTTAATATATATTTATAATAATTACAGTGTAAAGGATCAACTTTAGAAGGGAACGCAAACAAAAACTCATATATCTTCATCAGACAACCTTACACGACTATAAATAATCTCATACGTCCAATAATAAATGATCACACATAAAAGTTAAAAGAATCATGTAACGTGGAGTTGCGTTAACTGTTTTAGGTGGTATTATATAACATATTACAATAAAAATACATACAAATGGTACCAATACCACAAGAAAGAAAAAAAAAAAAAAAAAAAAAAACAGTAATAAATCTCAAGACTTTTAATCGGATGAAATCGCTTCGATGCGAGACTTAGCTGTATAATAAGGCACTCAAATTAAGTGAAAATTTTCCCATGGATTACGGTAATAAGACACTTTTTAAGACGATAGTTGGAACCTTCCACTCGGCTTTTTTCTCCTCCATCCCTATTGACAAAGTTAACAAGAACATTATTTACTAAAATATATGTTTTATCGCCTTTTTACCACTATCAAAAGATAAAAAGTAAAAAAATGAGGGGGAAAGGTGAAACTTACAAAGGCGGCATAATACACAAAGGTTAGGCCAGCTAGAACGACAAATGCAATTTGGAATATGTTATACCTGTGAATAATTAATGGATTAACTAATGAGTATAGATTTTTTTTTAAATATAAAGTGAAATTGGGAGAGTAATTGAGACTGACTTGTATAAGTATTTGATTCCACGAAGAGATTGCAGGGTATGACCGAATATTTCTTGGGCAGCTGTAGCTTGTGCGTAGTATGCAAATGCGGTCGAACAGAATTGAATAACACTAAAACCAACAAACAATGGATTGGAATGGAATATGAGTCATTAATATCTCTATGGAATGGAATGAAAAAAGGTAATAGAACAAGCAATGGAATGGAATGAGTCATTACATTTTACAATCATGTGTCATTGGTCTGTCTGAATAAAATGAATTTCATATGATCTTGTTTATATCGGATTTTACAATGTATAGTTTTTAACTCTACTCTATAAACATTAATTAATGAACTTTTTATTCACGAAATTAAAAAGTTGAACATAATAAAAACCTGTTGAACCCAAATAAGGTTATAATAAGAATATATTTGTGTCGTGTATTTTACCCATAAACCAATCATCTTGTAAAATATATTTGTGAATTGACAGGGGAAAAAGGTGAAAAATGAACTTTTTATCAATTATGTTCTGAGATTCTGGTTAAAAAAAAATAAAAAATAAAGAAAATGAGTCAGCCTACCTGATGGAGCAAAGAAGAATGAGAGCCACATTGAACAGGAAAGAGTTCATGAGAGTTCCTCCCCACCTGGACAGAAAGGTCATTTTACTTGATACTCAATTCACAAGTCAAAATTAAACAATTAAACATAATTGGATAGAAAGGTCATTTTACTTCATTGGATGGATAGTGATAAACACTAGTCTGAGACCAAGCATCATTGCACCAGCAATAACTGCAAGCAGAAGGTAGAAGCAGAAAAACGCAAAGGCAGCAGTGCCCAGAAGACCTGGTGAAGGAAGGACAATTTGGTCAATGTAACAACATTAATCAGTCATATGGAATAGGAATCAGAAATAGAAATTACCCCAAATGTCATCCAACTTTATGAAGACCTCATTTAGGAATGGAGAAAGTGGAGGGTCGATCAACAGATATATAATGATGTGTGCAACCCAAGCAATTGAAACAATTAACCTAACAATAGGGATACAATCAATCAGAACCCAATTCTAATAAATACTATAAGATTTAATTTTGATTGTAATGGAATTAAGAAATAAGAATTACCCAAAGACTCCGAGTATAAGCTTTGCAAGATAGCCAAGAACAGTCATGGCCCAGGTAGTCTCTGCCTGAATGAGTTACTTAATATGTGATTATCAGGAAAACCATTAAACAAAATATAAGAAATAAAAAAAAAAAAAAAAATGTTTATCACCTTTTCGCCTTGAGGGTACATCTCTTCTAAAGCCATCACATCATCCTCCAAAAGAAATAACTCCTGAAAATATATAAATATAATTAACAAAGGTAATTCAATGCCTTAATGCACCTAGATTTTTTTTTTTAAATAAATATACCTTTTCTAGGGCTTTCATATTTTTACGCCATTTCCTTCCTTTTGAACCACTCCTTTCTTCCTGATGAAGTGCATCAGCTGCCTTCTTTAACTCTCTTGCTTTTTTACCAAGTTCTGTAGCTTCCTAAACAATTTTTTTTTTATAAAAAAAACAAGCAAAACCTTCATTGTTAACTAAAATTATTGGCAATGCATTTGTGAATTATAAAGAGCAAAATGTAATGTAGGGATACCTTGATATACTGTGATCTAGTAATCACTGCCTTTGGGCGCCTTATGAAAGAAAATATTAGCCCCAGTGGGAGGCAAGCAATGCCAACACCACCAAATATCTGATTATCACAAGATAAGGTTTAGGATAATGCACAAAAAACCTAACATTGTCACATCTATTTGGGGAAGATAACAAATGTTGTTTCTGAAACACCGTTTATTCCGACCTTGAAATGGAATACAATTAGAAAGTGTTTGGTATGATGGAATGGGGGAAGAAATGGAACGGAATGGTATGGTATGGTATGGTATGGTATGGTATGGAACAAAAATCAGCCCACGAGAAGGAATACTCCATTCCATTTCCTCTTCGATTACTGATTACCAAACACTACCTTAGTAAGAGCCATCTAACTCTCTACATGCTACATGACATTAACAATCACAAATCCAATAAACTAAACTTACAGAGAAAAGCACAGAGCCCACAATTGTAGCAAGAGCAACAACATATTCTGGAAAAGTTGATCGCATGGTCCATGTTGTCTCTGATGAAGGACTAGCATCATAGGCAGAACACTGTCATCCATAGAAGAGAAAGAGGCATATAAGAACTAGATGTGGCTAATTTGTTTTGAAGATGATACCAAGATACCCCATCATTTAAAGATTTTTTTATAAAGAAAAATATAGATTTTATCCATCACCTGGCGTACACCATTGCTGACACATGGTTGACCACTAGAGAATTGGAAAGTGCTTGGGAATTGCACTGTTGAAGAAGACAGGTGTCGAACTGTGAAATCAACTTTTCCAATAACACCTATCAAATGAGGATGATACAACTCAGTAAAAATGTAACATACATCCAATAAGAGTACAAACAAGAAGCTTTTAGGACCCATTCGTTACTTAGGACATGAAAAGTTGAGAAAGATGAAAATCCATTATGGCTTAAATGAGAGTCATGTGAAAATTTGAGAAAGATGCAGCAATATTTGATATATTAAGAGATGTGACATGAAAAGTTGCCGACTCAAACACCAAAAAGAAGATATATATGACATGAAGTCTCTATATGTTTAAATATAAGACAGAAGAGTTTAATTATAATATAAACCAGGTATTTGTGCTAAGAACTACTTGTTTGTGACACTAAAAAGGATTCTTGCTTATATTTGAAAGTGCACTCCATAAGTTCTGCAATATGAAATATAGTAATACTGTGCACATCTTTTTATCTTCAGATACCGAGATACCCCATCATTTAAAGATTTTTTTATCTTCAACAAATCCTTACTTTTGTTCAAATATAATAGATACGGATAGGTTTTATAAGAATTATAGTTGTACTCAATAACTCAAAGACTAAAAAGTGTACCTAGAAAAACAAGGCACCTTAACCCTGTATACCCCATCATTTAAAGATTTTTTTATCAAAAATAGCCATCTAATCAAGGTAACCCATAACTTTCTTCCTTAGTTTTTTTACCTAACTATTGTAATGTATTGTAAAATCTGTAAAAAAATCCATCATCAAAAAAGGTTTTTTTAGCTCTGTGAAATCCTTGGAATGCTGCTACATTATGTGCGGAAGTGATCAAGCTTAAAATGAAATGTTTGATGGGTCAAAAATAGCTTTTTGCTCTGAGCTGTTCTTTTTATAAAGTACCTGATCTTCAAAAATTCACATTAAATCACTAATAAATCCAATTAAAAAGACTTTTTACTTGTTAAAATCGCCTACGAGCTTTCTAAAACTCGTATTTTGTAAGTTTCTCAAAAAGACTTCATTACAGTAACTAAAAATCACGTTTTCGTAAGCAAGCAATGCTGTGAATTCAGACACCATGCCCATTTATGCTTTAGTGTGACCATGAAACTAACCACTGTCAGATTATGTCAAAGCATAGAAACATCTCATTCATCGATCCTATTATAAGTATACAAAATGCAAAGCTAGAATAGTAATTTTTGCCATGTAAGCTAATTTTTTTGGCAGTGCCCATCATACCTACTTGCATGGGAAACCAGGGAGATCAACCTCCTAAATGACTAAAAGTAGCTTCTACTCCTAATTGCATTTGATCATAAGTGAAAATGTTTCTTGTAGCCATAAAGTAATAAATGGAGGAGATACTAACCGTATAAGATACCCAGCACCAAGCCACAAACAATGGCTGTAGTTACCACCCAGATCAATGCACTTTTAATCCTCTTGCCAATAGTCCTACGAGCAAAAATAGTTAGAAGCATAAATACATACACTTTCAATGTTTAATATGCTCTAACAAGTCTTTTGGTTCCAGAATAAGATGCTTTTTGACTAATTAAGTCAAACAACTTAGAAATTTTTTCTATGTATGCAATAATTCTTGAGAAGATCAAGTGTCCTTGCAGAAATTCTCCACAATACAAAAATAAATCTCAACTCAGACATCTACATTTAGGGTTTAATGAATGCTTCACCAGGTGAAAGCATCTTAAAGTTGGGTTTCCAACGTAGTTGATTTCAATTACAAAATTTGAAACCTCCATTTTCCTATTTGTGGCATCTCGATAAGGTAGCTGTATACTAAACTTTTCTAGACGAGCTATGACTTTCAAATCGAACGATGTTGCAGATTTTACATCAACATTTAGCTATTAGTAGTGTTCTTAACAAAGTTGTGATGAAATCATCATTTATTTCAGCTACGAAGTACTTACTTGTCTTGGTCGCCTTCGTAGTAAAACATTGCGAAGGGAATGACGAAGAACACAAGAATAGCATCAATGATGTAGATAGCAAGCCACAGATCCTTCATCGGCAATGTGAGATTACAAGCACCATTATAAATAGCGTGCTGACAAGCTTGCCGGTTGGCAACATCAGCGGGGAGCATAAGTATAGAGATAGCAGCGACCGAGAGTCCCAAAACTACGACAAATTTGGGGAAATACGCCTGGTTTTTGTCATCGGGATGTTGGTAATTGACAAGGAGGTACAAATTGAAGATGAACACCAAAACACAAACAACTATCGCCACAATCACAAGCGCAAGATTGAAATCCCCCATTGTTGACCTTAGATTCGACTCAAAATCATGAACTGATTTGAGGTTCTAGGGTTTTGCTGTGTGCAGTTTTTTTGAAACTTCAAATGAGATCACTCTCTTTCTCGTGTAGATCTACTTTTTGCGGTGGGAGAGGCCGGTGGTCAGCGGTGGCGATTAGGAGTTTACGATTTTGTCCTCGGAGGAAGCCATGGAATTGGTTATAAGAGGGGTTGAAAGGGGAATTCGGAGTTTACAGTGTGGAAGCACTAGGAACAGCCTGGAAAAGATGGACCGGAAAAATGATTAGAGTTTCAAACCGGTCACGCTTTAATAGTTAATAACTTAATACGGTCTAAAAGGGAATAAAATGACAAACAAATTTTCTTTTTCGTTACAATCAAAAAAATTTATTGAAGATAAAGAAAATTTATATTTAATTCAGTCATTCAACAAAGCGATTGTTTGATAGTTGTTAATTGAATCAGATTTAACCGAGTCACATATATGTCTATATTATTTAATTATATCTCTCATCGACTATGTTGCATGATGAAAATGATTATTTTACCTTTTCGGATAAAATATATAAGTTCGATAGAAATATAACATAATTATATAGAATGACCATTTTACCCTTCACGGTAGAAGTGCACAATAACATCAAATGAAACAGTAGTATTCAAAAAAATCCATAATTAATGGAAACAACATAAAACAGTATAATGTTAATTATAACAAGAACCATTTTTGCAATGACATTTTATGACTTGTAGTTGCAATTGAAAATTAATGGAAACTTAGTAGTCCTACCTACATCAAGTGTGGTGTTCAAAATGATAGTGGGAAGTCCAAGGCCACAAACCTGGCAAATCCAATATCAAGATTTTACAACAAAAATCAACACATTCATTCAAAGTAAATTCATAGCTAAAGATATAGAAATTGCACGCAACATTGCAAATTTTATGAAATAAACTTGTCTCATATGTATGTATGAGTGGTTCGCAATCTTTATCATAAACAACATGCTCATTCTCATCTTGAAATCCATAAGAACCCCATCAATTGGATTACATAAAACAGCCTTTTGAGCCCTTAATTGGATTACATAAAACCATTCCATTCTCATCCTCCACCTCTCCAACACCCTCCCTTGAAATCCCAAACACTAGTTTGAGCCTTTTGAGCAAAAGAATGTGTTTTTGAGTGATTTGGAGTGTTCTTGGTGCATCTTGGAGAAGAATGAGCTCTTTGGAGTAGTGTTGGTTGCATTGGAGCTTGTACATCCAGACTGTGTTCACCTTGATCTTTCTTCTAAATGTATAAAGTTTGAATCTTGACGATGCATTTGATAGATCTAGCTAGTCTTGGGTGTTATGAGCTTTTTGTCACTTTAGTGTATAAAGTTTAGATCTTGAAAGTTTGCAACCTTGTTATGGATAAAGTTGGAAACTTTATCCATCTAAACATCATATCGATTCAGATCTAAAGGCTTGAGACTTAGACTTAATAGATTAAGTTGGAAGAGATGCACTTTTTGTCCTTTTGAGACTTAAAGACTAGATATTGGTTGGTTTGACCATTCTAATGGATAAAGTTGGAAACTTTATCCATTATGGAGTTATTAGGAACCATAAAAATGTCATCTTGATGGGTTTTGATGAATCATGCTTAAGTTGGTGTTCATATTATGGGTTGAGATGGATAAAAACGGGTTTTGGGTCCCATTAAAACATGCAAAGGAGTAAAGTTGGCAACTTTATGGATTAAGACCTTATTTAGAGGTTAGATTTGAGTGTGGACGTTTTGGTCTTAAGCATTAAGTGCTTAATGTGAGTTTTTGCCATATGATGAGTTCGTTAGGCATACGTATGCGTAACGCTCAACGTAATGCAAGGATTTCACGTCGGTAAGCTTTGGAGAGTTGTACTTTGTGTAGCAGCAGGTAGTACATGGGGCGTACCAATCTGGTACGCGGGACGTACTCCTGGAAAGCTCATTTTGGGCCCTTTGGTCCTTGGGTCTTTTGGGAGTTGGGCCATGAGATGTTGGGTCAGATATGGGGAGGGTAAAATGGTATTTTACTCATTGGAAGGATAGGATATGGATTTGGACCTTGGATTTTGGGATTTGTCTTAATTGTTGATCGAGGGTATTTTGATTGTGTGAGGATCTCGATTGTAGTAGCGTATGCGTTTCGGTTCTCTTGGATTGAGGTGAGTCTCCTCACTGTACTCGTGGGTCGAAGGCACCAATACCGGCCCATTAGGATCTATTATGCTAGTTGTCTTTGTGATCTTGCATGATATGTTGGGCTAGGCCCATTGTATGACAATATAGGCCCAATTTGTATGTTGGGTTGGGCTTATGGACTAGGAAGGGCTAGGCCTAATGTATGTTATTTGGGATGCTAGCTATCTCTGTGACTCTTGCATGGTATGTCGGGATGGGCCCATTGTATGAGGGTTATGCCTATTATGGTGGGTTGGGCCCAATATGAGGGCTAGGACCAATGGTATGCATGGTACATGGTATTTTTGGAAACTCCCTAAGCTTTGTGCTTACGGTTTTATGGTTATGGTTTTCAAGTACTTTTGGTTCGAAAGGGAAGGGCCCGACTTGATCGCTTCGCATTCACCCATGTTTCCGCAACTATATGATTTTTGGGATTGTACTCTGATAACTTTTTTTATTCTGATATACTTTTGAATGATTGAAAATGATAATTGGTGTTTTTGGTTAAATTAAAAATGAAATTGTCACCTATATAATTTTTGAGACGTTACAATGGCTATAAGGGAAGGTAAAAGATCACAGTTTTCTTAGTCCATGAGCTCCATGAAGCATTCTAAAATGGTCAAAAGATGTTAGAGTCCATTCAACTCCAAGATCACCCATAAAATGGACCAAAAGTGCCAAAAAAAACCCCAAATGTCAAGATCTAAAGAACTAGATAACAAGATTGAAATTTGTACTTACAATAGTCCAGAAATGTGGTGTCTTTGATGGATCCAAACTTGAAGCATCATTCATTGCAACCAAAAGAACATTCTTGATCTTTAAACTTTATCAAAATATCATAAAAAGCACCCAAAAGATGAGAAAGAAAAGAGGAAAAACTCAACTATTGAATGTGGAGGCTAAGGTTTCTCCCGAGGGATTTTAGAGGTGATGGAGGCTGATAAAATGGCCAAAAAGTCAGAACCTTATGCTTAAATACATTGAAAACCCTAAAAATAATAGGATGGGGCCTGACTGATCGTCGTGCCATGGCCACATTTCGCAGTTTCGTGGCGATTGCCACGCCGTGGGCTCTGATCCCCACTTTGTGGCGACAGTTTTCTACACAAATCCCTTACAACTTCAAACAACCATAATTTCTTCGTTTCAACTCTATTTTTGACGATCTTTATATCCACAGAAAGGTATTGATGAGCCCTGTTCTTCTATATAGTTAATTTTGGATTAACACATGTCGAACTAAAAACCATAATTCATGCAAGAAGCCTAACATATAATTTCCCCATATACCCTTTGGCTTCAAAACACAATCCAATGGCTTAGATTACATAACCAATATCATCAACATCTAATAAGGTCTAAACTCTATTCCCTTGAAGACCAAGGCCTTTACTCGATCCATTTCTTGTCCACAATCCTGAAATAAGAAACTTCTTGAAACAGAATGTTAGTCTATGGATTTGTCTTGATATCTTTTAATATACTTTATGTATGTTATACTGTTGATTTGGACTATATGGTGTGTGTGTGTGTGTGTATATATATATATATATATATATATATATATTCTTTGATGATATATTTATTATGTTTTTTGGGAACAAATTCCGTAATATTATTATTTAAAATGGATACTCTGACTTTTAAATAAGCATAAATATAATTTTTAAAATGACCTTGAAATTGGGGATGTCACACATTTTGACGTTGTAAAATTTATTTATGCGGTTGATTTTACTTTTTACAAAAAATCATAACTCCTCCGATTAAAGTCAAAAATTTAAGAAGTTTATATCTTTTAAACCGTGTCGTCGTGTACTTTCCTAATATGTTACCCATTATACTAGTTAACACAACTTTTTGCTCACTTAGTTATGCAATTTACGTATATTTTGGACTATATTCTCTCATACATCAGAGTTTTAAGCCTTGTGTTTAGATAGTTATCATATTCTAAGTCTTTTACAATTTGTGACAAGTTTTGCAAATGTCAGACACCTTCATTGTCTTCTTCCTACTTTACTATCCTTGAAGTCAAGATGTTGGATCCCTTATAGGTTTGGTCGCTACAAAGAGTAAACATGTATTCTATTGGTTCAAGTGAAATTGGGTAAATAAACTCCGATGGAATCTGAGGCTAATCTCTTAAAACGTCTTTTTTAGATCCAACTTCTCAAAAAACCCATCATCGCAACCGACTCCTCCACCTCCACCAACATTGTCGTCAATGTCCTATACTCTATATTTCACAACAATTTCTGGAAATCAGACTATGGGTTTTTTATTATACATCACATGATCAATATCGATTTCTACACTTTCTTCTTTCTTTCTATGAGATTGTGGTTTTTCGATGTACAATATTTGTTTTATTAGAGGAAGTTTGTTCGAAGTTAGATTCCTATGAAATAAGAACATGACAATGAATAAAGAGGAAATGTACAAAGAAGCCATTAAAAAGCGGTAAATGAATAAATGGGCGAGAAGTTGTCAATCAATGGACCACATTTGAATTGATTAAACTTAGGCCTGTTGAAAATAACCAACACCCAATTACCCGACCCGACCCATTTTAAATTCGGATAGATCGGGTCGGATAAATCGGGTATTAGGTTTGAAAATTCGGGTAATCGGGGAACCCGATATTAAAATAGGTCATGTATTGGTAGGTTTAAAAAAATTCGGGTATACCTGAATACCCGATTAATAAAAACACCTAATGTTATTAACATATTCATCTATATGACTATATATAATTACATTATAACCCTTTGTTGTTATTTAGTCACATTGGCTTTTATAAAATTAAAATGAATGTTTCAAAGTAAAATCATAAATTTGCTACAAATGAATGTACTAAAACAATAAATATCTGTTAGTCATCGCATGAACTTTTAGAAACAAATAACTAATATATGGTTGTTAAACTACAAAATTTTGCATAGAACTATTTCTTGCAAAATGATTGTTGCTAGAAATTATATGCCTCTAATTTCAAAGTAATATAACGCATGCAAAATCATTTTTTATATAACCTTTAAACTTTATGTTCAACTTCACGATGCCCAAACTAATCATAAAAAAAT